CGGTACAAGGTCTAAATAATGAAGCTTCCAACATGCAGTTTGCAGCGGGGTTTTAAGAGACCAGGGATTACATTTCGGGAACTCTAATCATTAGCATTAGAAGAGCAAGGTGAAAAATGTATATGCGAAGGATTAGTCGTGTGGATTAGAGACTTATGAAGAGCTGAGGTAGGGATTTGATCGTGACCAAGATTATATTGTGAGCTCATAATGATCACTGATCATTGAGGGAAATGAAAACTAAGATGTATCTGTTTCATTCTTAGTGACCAGGCAGACTGACCATACAACCAAAGGGAAAACTAACGCTTTCAGTTTTACCGTTCTTCAAGCAACCAGCTTGACATGCTAGGACCCAAAGAAACATGTATTACAGTCAATACAGCCCGACTGAGTCTTCACGATCACCACTGACCCCCACATCAAGGTAGCAGCTTCGGTGGACGTGTATATGGTCAATGGATTATCAGTAGAAGAGGAGCGGGCATACGTACTGATATTTTCTAAGAACCTCTCATATTTTCAGCTTCTATCTGCTTAAGCGGAAACGTATTTTAAACGTGGAACTTTCTCCGTTTAACATCTTAAAGATTGATCTCCTACAATGAAACTCATTCATTCACTCACTGTAACCAGACGCTGTGTTTCGTTCAGAATGAAGACTGCACCTGAAAGGTGATATCTTTTCAGTGCCATGAACAACAATGGAACAACACTTCTGGATGAGTTTCAAATTCTCTTCTGTACAATAAGAAATGTTACTTTATGACTGACTGATCTGTGTTCATGTTTAGTTTGATCTATTGAAAAGAATGAGATGGTGGAGTGTGTTGACCACTTTATTTTTCAAGAGAAGCGACCTCAGCAAGTGTGAGGACTACACAGTCATCATTCTTCGCTCAATACCAGAAAAAAACTTCAGAATGAAAAATTCAGTAGACTCCCAGCTTCGAGATCAGCAGACTGGATTTCGTTAGGATCGATGCTGTACCGACCAAACTGCAACATTACGGATCATTGTAGAACAATCAATCAACCATTCTACATCAAATTCATCGACTACTGACAGACTCGTTCAAGGTGACGACCGATGTCAGGCAAAGTTGCTTACTCTCACCCATTCTCACTCTCCTGGTGATCGACTGGATTGTGAAGACGTCAATATCTGGAGGGAAGCACGGTATACAGTGGACAGGTGTGACGCAGCTGGACGATTTGGACTTTGCAGATGATCTGGCCTTCTGTTGCACACGCCACATAAAACGCAAGAGAATATGAAAAGTGTAGCAGCGGCCTAAGCGTCACTAGGACTAAACACATTCGCTAAGGGAAAAGCAAGATTCTCTGATTCAATATAATATGCATCAACCAAATCTCACTTGACGGACAAGCTTTGTAGGATGTGGAAATCTTTACATATCTGGTCAGCATCTTTAATAAGCAAGGTGGATCGGATGCAGACGTGAAGGCGAGGATCGGCAAAAGAACGGCAGCATTCCTACATCTGAAAAAAATCTCCAACTCAAAACAACTATCGATAAACACCAAAGTCAGAATTTTTAGTGCAAATGTCAAGACAGTTCTATGGTATGGGGCGGAAATCTAGAGAACTACGGAGGCAATCATTGAAAAGGTGTTTTTTAACAGTTGTCTACTCAAGACACGATAATTCGGTTTGCCAAGTGCCATCAGTAGAGAACAAACCAGTCTCCAGATGAGAAAGAAGGGGAAATATGATGGAGGTGGATAGGACAGCTAATGAAGAAATCACCCAACGGCTTCTCAAGGTAAGCCATCACTTAGAATCCTCAGGGCCAGGGGAGGAGACGAAAATCAAAGAACACATTACGCCGAGAATTGGAAACAGGCATGAAAAGAATGAATAGCTTTTCGATGGAACTGGAAATGAAGTCCCAGGGCAGAGGAGGTTGGAGAAGGCTTGCTGGCGGCCCATGCTACATCGGAGGTATCTGGTGTAAGTAAGTAAAAAGTAATCTACTGATCACATCGAAACTTATTTCTGGTGGTCAGGAACATGATATCACGTATATACAATCGAAATAGAGTCACCGAGCATAATCGAATTTCGCTGTTAGAGATTCCAGGCTCGAATTTCCAATCATCAGTCCCCAGTGTGATGTCCCATTCATTCGTTATTGTTATTTGAATATTAGGTGGAGTCTTATACCGCATTATTCACTGTTATATCTTATCTATTCCTTTCCAAATTTCCTTCTGATTTTTAGTCTTTAGGAAAAAGATTTGCTTATTCCTGCCCTTATCCCGATACACGCTTTTAACAATATTCCCCACCATTGTGTTTGTGTGGATACAGAAAGCTAGATTGGCTTTTTCCAACCTGCGTTATTTATGGCGTAGGCGAGATATCCGTTTGCTTACCAAAGGACGAGTGTACTGAGCAGCAGTTTACTCCGTTCTCCTGTATGGATGCGAATCCTGGCCGGTAAGTGTAGAAGATATTCTTAGGTTACTAGTATTCAATCATAGATGCCTTAGAAACATTACTCGTGTATCGTGGGGCAACCGAATGAGCAATGCTGTCATCAGGAAATGAGTTCTAGGTAAGGACGGCAGATCAATAGATGCAGTAGTGACACTTCATCAGTTGAGGTGGTTGAGACATGTGTTACGTATACCTAGCCACCGAATGCTGCGACGCGCTATGTTTTGTGGTGTAGGAGTAGGTTGGAAGAAAGATAGGGGCGGTCAGACCAAAACATGGCACAAATCCATGAAGTCACTGACAAGTGGACTGAGTCATGTTGGTAGATGTAGACTACTTGGTTGGTGTCCGCTAGACGAAAGTCCCCAATGGTTAGAGACCTTGAATGACATGACTCAAAATCGTTTGCAATGGCGCAGGTGCATCCACTCATTGTGTTCTCTCAACACCTGTTCTTTTGTCTTTCTAACCTTATATCACTTAATTATACTTCTTGAATAACATCCTCGAACCCTAATCTTCTCTATTACCAGTAGTACTCATACTATCTCTACGACTATGGGATTTGAAGTGACAATTGCGTCTCTGTGCCAATGTAGTATGGCAACCTAAACTTATGTACTTACGTGAGAAGTTCTGCGTTGCATCGCTCTCTGTGATTTTGAATATCTTAGTGTGATGATCAACTCGGTTCACATTTCTTTGTTTCATCTATTTAGTTGTATTCAAGTAGCAATTAAAAGCGTGTTGTTTACACAAGCTAACCTGTGCTCAAAATTATTGATTTTTCGGAATAATTAAAAAGTATTTGCGAACAAAAGAAATTGTGGAATCGAGGAGAAAAGTGATCATATAGGAATATGTTCATTTCATTGGTTCCACTATTACTGCTTCAAGTTTTAAATCTCCGCGAAGTGTATAGTACTCAGGTTCAGAAAACAATGTAAGATATACATTGTGAACTGGTGTATCACACAGAATTCATAGAAATTCCCTTCACATGGTACAATAAGTTACTATCTTAGTTTATCAATAAACAAAACCCAATTATTTGTAAGAAAAAATATTCAGTCAAACTGAGAAAACGTTACAATAATCAAAAATACCCACTATATTGTTTGTTGTAAAACGATAATGATAATATTTCATAGTTGGTAGGTGATATTATTGTAACTGTGTTAAAATTGCTTCACTCTAACTAACAGTGGATATTATTTATTTGAGTCGAATACATTGTAGTACAGTTGTGCAACCATCTAATTCAAGCCAATTCAATACTTACAACTGATCAATGTTAGACCACCATTAGAAAGCTGGAAGCACTGGACGGCCGTTTCGTCCTGGTATGGGACTCATCAGCAGTGCGCATCGATTCATGGTTACAAATAAAACTTAACAATCTTTACAACAACCCCGCAATGCACTTACAACTGAGACTACTAAAAAATACTATTGAAAAATGATTATTTTTATGGTATACGCAAAAATTAAACTAGGAAATTAGGTAATGGAGAACATTTTTTTTAAATTAGAACTTTAGCTGGTCACGACTGGAATCCAGTGTGGAAATAAATCTTCCTGTCCATTTCTGTATATCCTACTCAGGCAGACCCGGCTTGTGCGACGGTAGTAATAGGAAGCTAAATATGATTTCCCGGATGAATTTATTTCATGCATTCATTTGAACAGACACACATGAGAATGGAAAGCGTACAGGCAAAGTGAAGCGAATTGGAGAAGGCTAGTGAGCCAACTAACTAACTCTCCATGAGTTGAAGCCATGACTGAGTATTTATAGTCAGGCAATAATAAGCTAGACATGTGATGAGCGAGTAAGCATCCACAAACACACACACACACAATCAGACGTACAATACGATCGATACTGTTATCGAATTATTACAAATAGCAAAATTGGATCGATACTATTATCAAATGATTTAAATGACTAATCGTTGAAGTATAAAGAATAAATGTTACAGAACTGTTAAATATTTGTTCATTTATTTGTCTTGTTAAATACTTGATTAATGATAGTGTAAACTAGAATCTTATATTACTAACATTTACAACATCGTTTATTTTTAATTATGAGGGCAATCTATGCCTAGGTCACAACAGTATTCTATCAAATATCAATCAGTAATGTACAAACATTGACCTATGCTTTTATGCATGTTGTGATCATGGATTGTTACAAACAATCCTCTGAGTTTTTTGGGTAAGGACAACAGTGGAGACAAATCTACTACTATTATTCATATTCTGATTGGCCACTTGGGATGTAAGGATCTATGTAGACCAATAAGAATAAAGATATCCATCCAATGTTCTCTGTCACAGTATTTATTGGTCAAAGAGATGGTCGTTGGTCTGAGAGGCACAAAGTGAACTGGTCTAGTGGACTCTAAAATCTACAGTGTCAAATTTAGGGACAATAAATGAATTGTCGTGTTGTAAAACAATTAACACTTGAAATTTCACCGATATAATTTGCAAACATATCTGTGGATATTTTTAAACCACAATCATAAACATGCTTCATCGACCTACACTTATGCCTCCATCAATGAAATCATCCACAAAATTCAACCTTTCCACAAATTCACCACATCCATCCCAATCAATCAAAATTGAAAGTCCAGAATTAATTCAACTTTTCAACTGTAATGATGATGATGAAATTGTGGTTGTTGAACCGACAGATCCAGATGAAGATCGAATGAAACAGGAAGAGACAACATTTGAAGATGTATTGAACAAGAAACAAGAAGATCACAACGAAGAAGTTGATCACAATGGTAATGAAACGGACATGAATTCAACTGAATCCAACATGCCAGTGTCGACTAGTAAGGTGGTGGATGAACCGACTGTAAGCGAAACACAAAACGAAGCTCCAATCACCGTAACCACGGATTCGGTGAGACCCATCAGCATCTTACCTCTGAATGATGCCATTCAAACTCTTTTAACATGTACACCACATGTTCCCACTATACAGAATGTCTCGATTCAACCTATACTACCAGGTAAAGTGAGCGGTTCGGGAAGTGTACAGAACCCGAGTGTTGTTCCCAGTGTATTGCCTACACTGTGGCTCCATTCTCCTGTTGTGAATCCGACGGCTATTAGTGTGCCGAATTTGAATAACCTAACAGATTTGACGAATAATATTGTGCAGAATACTACGAATGCACTCAATCCACTTGTGGCTGCTGTACTTGTCAACTGTGCTACAGTGAACATGATCAGTCAACTAGCAGGATCTATGTGTAGTCCGATCATGAACAGCCTGATTGATGCAAATGTTAGTGTTAGTAACGTGAATAGTAATAATAATAATCTAATCCAGAGTGGAATCACCAGCAGCTGCAATAGTGGTAGTGGTGTGACCACTGTAACAATCCCTACAGCGTCAATACTTCCTAATTTATTATCTGCGATCCCTCTGTCTACGCATGTACCTGGATTAACAATGAACACAACCAATGCGGTTCTATATACTTCAGCGAATAATGTGTGTGATGTTGGTGTTAATAGTGCAGTAGTATCGTCTACTGGAACTCTCATTACGAATAATAGTAATAATACTGGAAGTATGATTGTGATACCATCGAAAGTGGAGAATGTTCCTACAACTTCATTGTCATCCAGTGTGAATTTCAGTCAAGCTGAAAGAAAAAGTGTGACATATAATACTGGAGAATTAAACATGAATAATTCACAGAATAATAATAATAATAATAATAATAATAATAGCTGTACAATGACAAAGAATGCTTATTCTAAAGTTGTGTTCAATACGAAATGTACTAAAGAATCAAGGAAGCACACCTGTACATATCCAGGTTGTGGTAAATCTTATACTAGACGACATCGATTAAATCAACATATATCAACACATACTGGCACTGGTCCAATACCTTGTGATGCACCAAATTGTAATGTGAGATATTTTTCCGAGGAAGATTTAAAACGACATAAATTATCTCAACATACTCTAGTTGAGAAAGGTCCTCGTCGTCGACATGTATGCACTTATTCAGGATGTGGTAAATCTTATTCAGAGTTGAACAAACTCAGGGAGCATTTGAGGACGCATACAGGTGAACGACCATATGTTTGTCGTAAACCTGGTTGTGGTGCTACATTTGTTCGTTTATCTGGAGTTAAATCTCATGAACTAACACATGTATACATTCATAAACGTTCGAAACGATTAACTCAATATCCTATCTCTATGATTAATCATATCATCGGAACAAGTTTTGACAGTTCTGAATTAAAATTGACTAATCAAGATAATGCAGAAATGAGTAGTGTTTCATTAGATACCTTACCTAAATCAACTGAAATATCACCGATAATGCCTAAGAATTGTACTTTTCCAATGATTGCACCAAAATCAACTGATCCTCCTTCTTCTTCTTTGTTACCGATTTCCACTGTAAGTTGGGATTCCGGATTGAAATTACCTCATGTTTGTCCATTTAAAGAATGTGGTAAAGTATTCCTGAAACGAAATAAATTACGTGATCATATTTATCGACATACAGGTATAAGACCGTTTGTTTGTGATCAATGTAAAGCATCATTTGTTCAACGTTATGAATTACGCTGTCATAGTTATGTTCATCTTCGTGCTGCACAGTCTAAAATTATAATTTGATTCATTTCGAATTTCTTCCTAACCAACACTAACCATTATTCAATTAATAACAGTCAACTGATCATGCATATTTTTGGGTAACTGATTGTTATTATTATTATTATTATTATGATTACCATTATTATGTAGACAGATTCTATGACCTTGTAATTTCATTGACTTATTTAGAGATGACCTATTTTTATATATGAATTGAATCAAATCATTGTCTGATTTGATTTTCTGCCTATCCCAAAACATTCTTTCTGTATATATCGATATATATATTGATCTATGAATAGCCTTCACTACGATTGGTTTATATATATATATATATATATATATATTTGTACATTAGAAAAAAAACTATTTGTTTTATTGAATTGTTATATCTCTTTTTTGCCTCATACACGTGTTGTATGGAAATGCAATGTAATGTTTTCGTGATTGTCAATGGAATAATAATATTTCACAATGTGATCATGTAATCAATACATGAATTGTCTTTGAAAGTGGCTTTTTTGTAGTATTCGGTTTAGTGTGTAGATTGATTGTATTGATCAGTCATTGATTTGGACTTATAGTCTTCTATATGCTTGGAATTTTTGTTTATCAATTATGCGAGAAAGTCTGTTGTAAGCTGAATGCTTTGTTGGATGCAAACTGTGGTGACATGTCAACTGTGAAATGTCGATAGACTTTAAATAAACAGCTTAACATAAACTTTATACACATAGCTAAGTGAAGTGATAAGATATCACTTCAATAAATAGTAGTTTCTTTTTGTTATTGTTGTTGTATCCTTCTGTATAGAGAATTATGCCTAACCACAGACTGCCTCGACGAGCCCTGTTTTGTAGTGTAGGAATAGGTTGGAAGTAAGCTAGGGGTGGCCAAACCAAAACATGGCAGAAATCCATGAAGTGATTGACAAATGGACTTAGCCATGTCGGTAGTTGTCGACTACCTGGTTGGGGTCCGCGAGATGATAATAATCGATGGTTAGATAACATGAATGACATGGCTGAAAACCGTTTGCAATGGTGTCGGTGCATCTATTCTTTCTGTTCCCTGAAATCCTAATCTTCTGGATTCTTCAACACCCTCTAGTTTTGTCTTTGTAAACTTTTCTCACTGAATCATACTTCTTGAATAATATCTTCTAATCGTAACCTCTCCGATTACTTCTAATATCCTTACTACCTCTTCTACTATTGGGTTTGAATTGGCAATTATATCTCTGTGCTGATCTGGTATGGCGACATAAACTGATGTACTTACGTACAAAGTTCTGTGTTGCATCTGACTGACTGTATAGAGAATATTAGTCTGTTTGTGAACAGTTTCCAAACCGAATTCGGCTAAGAAATTCTACCAAAGTCTAAGTGAATGAAGAGAATATGTTGCAGTGGTCTTCTATTATTTCATTGACATTAGGTCATATGATATTTCACTGTTAAGTACGTCTATCAACATTCGCCTTCCTCTTTCTTTTCTCATTTAGCAGATATGACTCTGTATTTGTGTGAAGGAGTCGACTTTCTACCAGGAAAATCGCTTACTGACCTAGAATATGCCGATGAAATAGTTCTTTTCGGTGAAGACGCTGACAAAATGCAGTCTTCTGACTACCCTAAGCAACAATGCTAGCATGTTAGGGATGCGGTTCTCAACCTCGAAATACAAAATGTTGCTTCAAGATTGGATTGCATTGACACCTGAACTAGTGATAGGGGGTGAAGTAGTCGAACGGGTAGACCGCTTCACGTATCTGAGGAGTCCCATTAGTGCTGATGTCCTGGTGACTGACGAGATCTCAGCTCGGATGCAGACGGCTCGATTGGGTTCACCAACCTGCGTCACCTATGGCGTAGGCGAGATATCCGCTTGCTAACAAAAGGACGAGTGTACTGTTCAGCATTTCGCTACGTCCTACCATACAGATACGAATCATGGCCGTTAAGAGTAGAGGACATTCGTAGGTTACTAGTCTTCGATCACCAGTGTCCTAGGACAGCCAAGTAGGCAGTGCTGTAGTTAGGAAACGGGTGCTAGGTGAGAATGGCAAATCAATAGATGAAGCACTAAAACTTCATCATTTGAGGTGGTTAGGACATGTGTTACAAATGCCCAACCACCGATTGCCTAGACGAACTATGTTTTGTGGTGTAGGAGTAGGTTGGAAGAAAGCTAGGGGCGGCCAAACCAAAACATGGCAGAAATCCACGAAGTCAGTGACTAGTGGACTGAGTCATGTTGGTAGGTGTCAACTACTTGGTTGGGGTCTACGAGACGAAAGTCATCGATGGTTAGAGACCTTGAATGTCATGACTGGGAATCGTTTGCAATGGCGCAGGTGCATCCACTCTTTGTGTTCTCTCTAATACTAACATTCTGAATTTCTCATATCTCTACCTTTCTCCTTCTAAATTTATCTTACTGAATTATACTTCTCGAATCATATCTTCGCTCCCTAATCTTCTCCATTACTGCTAATACTTCTACTATCCCTATCACTCCTGGATTTGAACTGACATTTGCGTCTCTGTGCTGATGTGTTGTGGCAACCTGAACTGATGTACGGATGTACGAAGTTCTGTGTTGTATCTGTCTGTCTGAAGGTGGAGAAGGAAAAGCGAATGACAACTCACAAACACAATGGAGTGAAACAATCGCTTTTGTCTAGCTGTCATCGTCAAATACCAACACAGATTTGACTAGAGGAAAGAGAAAAACAAGAATAGACAGTAAACCATGAACACAACAGACAGCAGAATTAAATCGTTCTACTCATGTGTGTACGAAGTCACAGGACTATAGACCATGAATAGATGTGTGGAAATTTTGATGTTGAATTTTTTTTTGAAGAAATGCATGATGTTTTCACAATCATCGTCTAGTCAAGGTGATTCTCTATTTGAAGGTAGGATGAAAGTATCAGGCGGTTCTGTTCCTAGTCTATTCTGTTAACCACACAAATAAAGTGATAACGTTGTAAAGAAATACTCAAAAAAAGCTGAATGCGAAAAAAGCTAAAGATAATAGGTGAATAGTATTAGCATATAATAGGAGATACAGTTCAATTAAAAACTAAGCCTACAATTTTCTTTTTAACTAGTTAAAATCTTATTTTTCATAAACAATGAAAGGCTAAACTAATCCAGGGTCTCCACTGGTTCCCACCTTGAAACATGTCAGATGATGTCTCAAACAATTGAGTTTCACCTTTTTCTAGATCTGAATTATAAACAAGTGCACATGTATATTATATACTGACGGCCTTGACTGAACCAATCAGAATCAAGATGGCTCATTTATTGTATGATCTTGTGAGAAATTAAAAGTACAACGCTAAATAGTTTGTACACAATAATTCACTAAGAAACAATTGGGAATATTGGTTGTTTCTAAAATGCTTACAATTAAAATTTTTAAAAGTATATAGTATACAGGTCAAACAGTGAATATGACATTGTCGTTACAAGAAATACATTTTCATTGTGTAGAATGTGTGTTACAGTATTTCTTGTGATTCATTGCATAGACTTGTTGGATTATAGCTGATGTCAATTCGTACTGAAAACTGTACAAGATTAAAATTCTAAATCAACGCCTAACATGTAGACTTAACCTTTCTGTTTTACTATAATGAATAATTCAATGTATAAAGACAGACAGATACAACACAGAACTTCATACATCCGTACATCAGTTCAGGTTGCCATACCACATTAGCACAGAGATAAAAATGTCGAATCAAATCCCATAGTGATAGAGATAGTAGAGGTATTAATTGGTTTGAAGATATGACTCGAAAAGTATAATCCAGTGAGATAAATTTAGAAAGAGAAAGATAAAGGTGATGCGGAATTTAGAAGGTTAGAATTAGAGAGAACACAATAAGTGGATGCACCTACGCCATTGCAAACGATTCCCAGTCATGTCATTCAAGGTCTCTAACCATTGATGACTTTCGTCTCACGGACCCCAACCAGGTAGCCTACATCTACCAACATGACTCACTCCACTTGTCAATTACTTCATGGATTTCTGCCATGTTTTGGTTTGGCCGCCTCTAACATTCTTCCAACCTACTCCTACACCACAAAACATAGTTCGTCTAGGCAATCGGTGGTTGGGCATTTGTAACACATGTCCTAACCACCTCAAATGATGAAGTTTCACTGTTTCATCTATTGATTTGTCATCCTTACCTAGAACTCGTTTCCTAACTATAGCATTGCTTACTTGGCTGTCCCAGGACACTGGTGATCGAAGACTAGTAACCTAAGAAAGTCCTCTACTCTTAACGGCCATGATTCGCATCTGTATAGTAGGAGGGAGCGAACTGCTACACAGTACACTCGTCCTTTGTTTAGCAAACGGATATCTCGCCTGCGCCATAGGTGACGCAGGTTTGCAAAAGCCAATAAAGCCTTCTGTATAACGGATGTTTACCAAATCAATACGATTCATTTCACTGTAATTTTGATTGATTTTTATTGTTAATTATTTCAATAGTTAGACAGAGTTTTCTTATTGGTTGATAAGTCAGTCAAATTCATCAATACAGTATACTTATACTAAACTGTCGTTGATACTGAATGGCATAGCAGAACGAAACGGCCATCCAGTACTTCGTGATTTCGAATGGTGATGTAACAATGATTTATTCATGATTTCAATGTGAAACTATCATCTCCATAACACTCTAATGCAAAATCAGAAAAATGTGTTCACTAGCGACTAGCTTCATAAGAAAATTCTTCGGAGTTCTAATGAGAAGACACGACCAGAGGAGTTCAACTCTGTCGAATGTAGGCAGTAAATACCGAAGACAATGTGGGTAAGGTTGTGCAAAATCCTCAGATTGATCAGAGACATTAAGAACGTTGGATCCCGGCTCATCGGTCCAAAGGTTAGGCATTCGCTCGTATGACATAAGATTCTAGGTTTGAATCCTGCGAGTAGCAAGAGTCCTGGTTGCGCAGTGCTGATGGGTCCCATACTGAGACTTGACGGCTGTCCAGTACTGCCAGGTTTCTAAAGGGGGTCCCCATAATATCTTTGAAGCGTTTACTAGTTGCCTTAAAAAAG